TGGAGGCCGGGGGTCTGACTGGGCCAGTGCCTGGAGGGGGCCTGATGGGGATCTGGGAAGGGGCACTTGGAAGGCCGGTATGAGGGCACAAAGGGGAAAGAGAAACCAGGGATCGCAGCCAGTGGGGGAGCTGAGCCCAGCACACAGATGGGGGTCCGTCCAGCAAGTCACTGAGTGTGGAGCAGAGCAGGACAGCTGATGACAACAAGAAAAGCAGAGTAGGCAGGGGCCCAGCTGCCTCCTTCCCCCCAGGGAGGCCATGCTAGATGTGCTAACAGAAGGGCAGGTATGAAAAGATCCTCACTGAAGATCCATAGGGCCGGCAAGACCTGGGAGAAGACAGAAGGAGACAGAGAACCATGGAGGAATGGGGCGCCCAACCCAAGCTGGACCCAGGGACAGGAGGGCAAGCCTCAGCTCCAGTCCTTCCAAGGCACCTGGCCCTATCCTGGTTAGTGTCAGGGAGGAGGCAGGTCCTTGAAGGCCACTGCCACCAATGAGACTGGTGGCACCCCAGGGCCATGGTCAGACCAAGAGATCATGCTCAATGGATGTGAGCTTGACTGCTACTATTTCCAGGCTCCAGATCTTGGGGAAATCCTTCCAACCCTCAGTGTTCTCCTTTAGAGAGTGGCACTTCAATACATACACCTCACAGAATTCTTACAAAGATTACATGATGACTATTATTTGGTGGGATCTCATGCTTTGTGAAGGTGGGGGACCTGCCCACAGTGAAAAACACATCCAAGGGATCAGGGGAGGAGGGTTACAGGGTGGCTGTGGAAGATAAGCTCAGGGAACAGCATGAGGGAAGGGAAACCAGCGCTGCCTTCCTGTAAAGAAGAGAGACTGCCTTGCCTTTGTCTGACCGCCACACCAAGAGACACAGACCCCAACATACCAGCCTGTGAGCCGCTCTCTGCGGTCAGCCGTTCCCTGGTGGCAGCTCTGTCAGGACCAGCTCCTCGGTGGAGTCGATCTGCAGGAGAGGGAGCAGTGGTCAGAGTCCCCAAGAAATGCTTGTCCATCCACCTGAAGCAGATGGAAACATGGGTTTGTGGATTTCAGTAGTCCGGTCCCTCCATCCTTTGCCTCATTTTGCACATGTGCAGTGACCAGAGGCCACTCATCACCCTCTCCTGGGGCCACCACACACTTGCCTGGCCATGGCTCACTATTTCCCAGAGCCTGGAATCCATTGCTCTGTACCTTCTTCCAGAGTACAGCTGCCACACGAGGGGCAGCCGGGACAGGGTCAGCTGGCTGGGGGACACGGGCTCCTGGGGGTGCACCGGCATCTGCCACATGTGGACTGTGACGCTGGGCTCAGGCTCATGCTGAAGGGACCAGAGAGAAGGGCACATCAGGGGCAGGGTTCCCCCAATGGTTGGTCTGCGCGCAAACACACACAGTCCCGGATGCGGGGCCCAGCTGGCAAACTGCCACGTCAGATGTGAATATTTTCAGAATCCCACACCTAAAGCCATGGCACCTGGCATGGCCCTTGGGGGTGTCATCTGGATCTGGGATGACTGGTTCTCTCCTGGATCCCCCAAGTACGGTCCTCCCACTGATGCACCCCACCACACCCCACTGTACCCCTGAAAAGTTAGCCACTCTTCCCCACCCATCAGCAATTGATTATATTCTTAGGCCTCGGTCTCAGCCATTTCTACAGTTTTTTCAATCTTTCCAAAAATAAAGTATCTGTACACCTTAGGATCTGGGAGTGATGGGTTTCTCCCCAAAATACATCATATTTCATCACGGCATTCACGTACTTATTGTAAACATAAAAAATAAAATAAAATGAAATTTGGCTAATACAGAAAGGTATAAAAGTGAGTGGGAAAATCACCAACAACTATAACCAAAGCTCCCTTTGTCATGCAACAAAATGGAAAGTTCCTTACAGAGTTTTTTTTATCGGAGTATTTGTCTTTTTGTGTGTGAGGAGCATCTTTACGAGTTAAGGATACTGGCCTTTTATCAGTCATACATATGGCGAATGACTCTTCTCGGTCTGTTGTCTTAATTTTGTATGGGTTCTTTCGGCAGAGGAAATGCTTTTAGTTACATGGTGAAATCTCTTTGCCTTTGGATTCTGGCTTTAGATCAGGTATCAATCACCAAATTGTGGGCCGAATCTGGCCCGCTACCTCTTTTGTTAAATAAAGCTTTATTGTAGATAAACAAAAGCTCATTCCTTTGCACATTGTCTCCGGCTGGTTTTTCACCACAAGGACAGAGTCAAGCGGTTGCTATAGACTCCGTATGGCCTGCAAAGCTGACAATGTTACTATCAGACCCTCTACCAAAAGTTCGATCAGGCTCAGAACGCTGCTTCCCATCCTAAGGTTATATGTGAAAATAGAGATCTACTTCTAAGAAGTAATTATCTTAAATAAGGGGAAATGCTCATTCTCTGGGTGCCTCTACTGCATCCTTCACTACGTTACTTGAATCCACTTTTCCCACTGAAAACATGTTTATGTTTTCAAAAAAACCCACCAAAATACTTTGTTCAGAATTTTTTGCATGCTTTATTTGGCATAGGTGTGGGAAAGACTTTCAGTGTTCTCCACCCAAAATTTTGTGCAGAGCCTCTTTGAAGATTGCTAGGAGAATTTTGTATTGTTTAAAATGTTTACGATGGCCTAAATGGCATTTTTAATACCCAGATAAGCTTTTACCATATTACACGGAAGTATTTATTGTATCCCTCAAAGAGGGACTGGAATCTAAAGCCCTCTTCTACAGGGAATGCTTTCCAACCTGACTGATTGTCTTCACCACCTGGGGAGCTTTTGAACCTTAAATGGTCTTCCACTCCACCCTCGACTCGGGAATCAGTTTCCCAGGTGGGATTCCGGAAGGTGTTATCTGTTGAATGCCCCCAAGGCCTTGCAGCTGGTGAGCCGCCTCTCACTTGCCAAGGAGGCAGATTATTCTCATTTTTGCAGATAGGGAACCCGAAGTCAACGTTTCTTTTACGCCGTTGGCTCACCTGCTGCCTCTAGGTTGCAATACCTCCTGGAAAACTCCTACTCATCCTGTAGAGCCAAGCTGTGATGCCTTTCCAGCATGCACCGGGGGGAGGCCTGGGCCCTGACCTACCTCCCCCTCGGGCTCCCAATGAGGGCTGCATCATCTCCTCCGGATAAGCTCAGACCAGTGGTCCCTCCAGGCAGGGGCTCCTGGGGGTCTGCATCAGGCATAGACATCACTGTGCTCGCGCTCAGCACAGGCCAGTTTTTCCAGACAATTGAGAACTGCCTCCTCTCACCTCTGTCCCGGGTCCTATTGCTGCATGTGCCAGGCCCACGGGCTGACACCCGTGCACAGTCCTCCCCCAGACCCCCACAGCCATGCCTGACAACTCACTGTGCCGCCTGGGGAGGCCCTGCTCCGAGCTCTCTGGGAGGGACTGAGCCGCACGACCACCGTCACCCAGGTCCTTCCCTTCTCGTCTTCGTAGATGCCAGGCCTCCGGGCCCACAGACGGTGCGGGGGCACCCCAAGGATCGGAGAAGCCCCAGAGGCCATGGCGAGAGGGCATCCCCTCGGGGCCTGGAGACACGAGCGAGGCCTCCCAGGTGCAGAGCAACCTTAAGTGGGGCGGGGCCCGCACAGGGCGTGGCCAGCGGGAGGGGCTGCGGGGAGGGGCAGGGCCTGAGCCGCAGGGGGCGGGCAAGGGGCGGACCCACCGAGAGCTGGGGGAGGCCTCCCACCGCTGGGGGCTGGCAGAGGCAGGGCCCAAGGGTAGGGGCGGGTGGAGCTGGGTCAGTCTGGACCCGTTGGCACAAGGTCACGAGCCCCAAGGGGCGAGAGGCCACTCTCTGGGTACAGAGACACCCCAGGGCACTGCGTCCAGGGCCTGGATGGCTCCGTAAGATCAACACTTCACTTCGCTCCCATGATTCCCCTGCATGCAGCCCCCTTCCTGAGCACCCCCTCCCCAGTCTTCATGGCAGGCTCTATCCCCGACCTTCCTCCCGGCCTTGGGGTCTGTGCCCAGACCTCATGCAGACCTCCCTGCCCCAGATTCTGAGCCGGCACAGACTTCTCGCCACTCCTTCAGTAGGACTCCAGGCCAAGACTTTCTCTGGAGTTTAGAGGTCCCTCAAGCTCAGTGGGCTCTTGCCCCTGGGGGTACCTGGCCAAGGTCTAAAGGACAAATCAAACTCCCTCCTGTCAGAGAAGGCACCAGTGCCCCAGGGATATCTGAAATCAAAATCTTCTGGTAACACAAACGAGGGGAAGGAGGGCAAGTAGCCGTCTTGCCTGTCCATCCTAGGCCACAGGGTCCAAAGTGTCCACCTGGCCCCACCAACTTATCAGATCTGCTTTGCCATGAGGCTACAGAAGCCGGAGGCAGGCTACTTGGTAAGCACTCCGTGCTCTGTCTGAATGCACCACGAAAGGGTCATTTTCCTTTTGAAAACCACAGGTATGGGTCTTCTAGCACACAGGACACTGTTTACTGAGATGATGTCATTCCTCTGGGAAGAGCAAAAAGTGATTTCTGGCCAGGTTCCTGATCTGCAATAAATGGCGGGTAGCGCAACCACCTTTGAAATCACTGGGCAGCTTCCGAGCTTCTGAGCCTTTTTCACGGCAACTCTACCTGCCTTCCCTGGTGTTTGTCCATCTGGCCTGGGATTGGGGTGGTCCTAAGAGGTCATTACAGTCTTGTATAAAGTGATCGCATACATGGAATACACCTGTTATCGTATTCTATTGGTTGGAGCAGGTCCCACCCACATCCAAACAGAGGGGACCGATCACACACAGGTGTGGATACCAGGAGACAGGGATTATGGGACCCCCTCCCCCCCTGCCACCCAGAGCCTCGGTCTGCTGCAAGTACCAACCCCCTGGGTTACCACGAGGATCAGATGAGTGTGTGTAAAAAGCAGTGCCTGGTACCCAGTGGGTCCTGGAAAAATGATGCCTAATAGTTATGTCCCCACACTAGTCCCCTCTCCCCTGAGGACAATCCATCAGTCCTGCCCTTGTAACACTGACGCGAAGAGTGTTTATCTCTGTCCCTCCACTGATAGTGGATATTCTCAGTCTCACTTCCTGATGAGCAGGTGTGTGGCTATAGATGGGGTGGGGACACAGTTGGTGCATATATGCAGGGCACCCACGCTAAGTGAGACATTCGACATATGTTGCCTCATTTATGTCCTCCAACAGCTCCGTGAGCTGGAGATTGTCATCTGCATTTTTCGTAAATGGAGAAGGTGAGGCTTGAGGGGCTTCGTGGCCCAAGCAGGGCGGGTGGTGGAGGAGGAACGTGGACCCGGCTGCTCCCGGCTCTAACGCTCATGCGCCTTGTTGCCTGTCTTCACCCAGTCTGGCTCACCTGTGGGAGAGGCAGAACCAGGAGCTGAGAGATTTCCCATGGCTGCTGCTGAAATGGCCACGGGGGCGAGGTGAAGGCCAAGAACACCTCCCCATCGGTATGGGGACAAGATGTAACTAGAGGCTTCCATGAGCAAACAGAACAAAACCATCAGATAGCACAGAGACCCGCAATGAACAGACGGCTTCACTGACCGCCCTCCTCGTGCCACGTCCCCTCGTGACCTTGGCCCTGCACTGAAGAAAGACCAGAGCTGGCAGGCAAGGAGAACACAAGTGTAGGCCCTTGTCCTGCAGCAGGCCTCTTTGTGTATCACGTCTGAGATACAGCAACGTCTCTTGACCAAGTGGTCTGTCTTGGGTACCCACAACTTGAAGTATACTCACTCTCTGGGGTGGGTGTCGCCAAAGTCTTTGAGAAGCACATTGACCTCTCCAGGACTGCTCCCTGGCAGAGCCTGTTAATGACTGGGTAGTCTTGCCTGGCCCCTGTGCTGTCCTCCTCCAGCAGAGGAAGCCCTTCCCAAGCCCTAAGCCCCAGGGTCCTGGCACCAGGCCCACCCAGCTTGGGGATGATTCCAAACCCCGAATAAAGGGGCACAGAACACTCGGGCTCAGAAAACTCTAAGAGTCACGGAGATCTCTGCACCGTCTGCTCAGCTCCTCCCGCATACCGAGCCCAAGCTGGCCAAGGCAGGCAGGACACCGCAGGCAGGTAGCCTGGAAGTAGCATGGCACAGGGGGGGCTGTTCCACTGGGGAAGCAGTGAGAACAGACTTGGAAGAGGGGGAAATCAGGGTGTGTTTGGAGACCTGGAAATGATGAGGCTTAGCCAGTGCTGAGGACACAGGCTCCTAAGAGGAAGGGTAAGAAACGAGGCAGCGTGCGTGGGTGGGAGGAAGTCAGTGCTCTACGGTGAGGATCGAAAGTGCCAGCCCGACCAGTTGTCAAGTTGGTCAAGAGCAATGACGGTGCTTGACAAAGGGAATGGCATCTGTACGCACTTGATGGATGTTGGAACCAATGGTAAAACAAAGAGCGACTCCATAGTCAGTGACCACTAGAAAAGGCCTGGGTGGGGATGTTTCAGTTAACAACACAAATAAGAACATCTAAGTCCCAGCTCTAGGGCCGCCTGGGGGGCTCCGTCGGTTAAGCATCCGACTTCGGCTCAGGTCGCGATCCCACAGTTTGTGGGTTCGAGCCCCGCGTGGGGCTCTGTGCTGACAGCTGGGAGCCTGGAGCCTGTTTCAGATTCTGTGTCTCCCTCTCTCTCTCTCTGCCCCTTCCCCGTTCACGCTCTGTCTCTCTCTCGCTCAAAATTAAGTAAAATTAAAAAAAAATTAAGTAAAATAAATCCCAACTCTACTTATGTCACATGGTGAACAGAATAAATTTGCTGGATGATAAAAGCAATTCAACCCAAACGCAGAACTGAAGAAGGTGGGTTTCAGAGAGCCTTGCTAATTCCAAGGCATTGAAGATGTGCTCTGTTTTCTTCCAAGGTTATATTCTTTCACTTTTAAAAAAAAAAATTTTTTTTAACGTTTTATTTATTTTTGAGACAGGGAGAGACAGAGCATGAATGGGGGAGGGTCAGAGAGAGGGAGACACAGAATCCGAAACAGGCTCCAGGCTCCAAGCTGTCAGCCCAGAGCCCGACGCGGGGCTCGAACTCACGGACCGCGAGATCATGACCTGAGCCGAAGTCGGCCGCCCAACCGACTGAGCCACCCAGGTGCCCCTATTCTTTCACTTTTAGATATGATTGGTTTTCGGGTATGATGGAAGAAAGGAAGGGGTCTAGATTGATTTTTTTCCATGTTGATATCTGATGAATTTAATATCATCTAATAAAAGACTATTCTTTCGCTTCTGTACTATCGTTACTTCTGACGTAAAATTGAGGCCATATATGCGTGGATCTGTTTCCGGATGCCCGTGGCTCTTCCATTGCTCTACCTTAACACCTTGTGTCAATAGCACATGTTAATTACTATAGGTTTAAAATAGATATTGATATCTTTGAGCGTAAGTCCCTTAGCCTTGTTCTTCTTCGAGAGTGCCTTGGCTGCTATGCTGGTTAATTTTGTGTATCCACTCAAAGGTGTCTGGGGATGAGATGAATGTTTAGATTGGTGAACGCCGAGTAAAGCAAATTGCCCTCCATAATATGGGCGGGCCTCATCTACTGTTATTTTAGATTCTGTACTTTATTTGTTGCTGCTGCCCAAAAAATGCAGCTGAGTTTTGTACATTGACCTAGATCTGGATCAATTCACTGAACGCTAATAGCTTTTCTAATATTTTGGGAAATTCTCAGTCATTGTACCTTCAGTATCTCCTTCCTACCTCATTCTCCACCCCCCTTCCCTCCAGGACTCCAATTACACACTGTCAGACCTTTTAAACTGTATATCATGCTTCCTGTGCTCTGTTCTGCCTTTCCAAATTACTATTATTATTATCATCATTATTATTATTTTCCTCTCTGAGTCTCAGTTTTGATGTTTTACATATTGGCTTCTCTTACAGTTTACTAATCCTGGCATCTGCTGTGTCTGATCTGCTCTTACAATAAATTTCTTTTAATTTTTTTTACATTTATTGATTTTTGAGAGACAGAGAGAGACAGCACAAGTCGGGGAGGGACAGAGAGAGAGAGGGAGACACAGAATCCGAAGCAGGCTCCAGGCTCCGAGCTGTCGGCACAGAGCCCGATGCGGGGCTCGAACCCACAAACCGTGAGATCATGACCTGAGCCGAAGTTGGCCACTTAACCGACTGAGCCACCCAGGCGCCCCCAGTCAGATTTCTTAACTGCAGATACTGGGGCCAGAAGTCAGAATGCCCATTTGAGGCTTCCTTACAGACTCAAATTTCTCTGATAACCACCCTTTTAACCACTTTGTCCATCATCCTTTCCATATCCTTGGACATACTAGTTATTTTAGGGGTGCCTACGGTGGCTCAGTTGGTTAAGCGTCCGACTTCGGCTCAGGTCACGATCTCACAGCTCATGAATTTGAGCCCCGCGTCGGGCTCTGTGCTGACAGCTCGGAACCTGGAGCCTGCTTCGGATTCTGCATCTCTCTCTCTCTCTCTGTCTCCCTCTCTGCCCCTCCCCTGCTCATGCTCTGTGTCTCTCTCGGTCTCTCAAAAATAAATAAACACTTAAAAAACCAAGAAATAAATAAAGTTCTTCCCTGACAACTCTGGCTTACCAGTGGCTCTCCTTTTATTGTCTGCTTTTGCTCTCAGAGTCACTTTTCAAGGAATACTAAATATTATGTATAAAAGCACTGAAAGGTCCTAGATCATGTTATCTTTCCCCGAGAGGGAGTTAAACCCTTTCCTCTGCTGGGCAGGAGGAGCGAGGTATCGGACAGTTTAATTCCAGGTAGGAGAGAACGAAGTCAAGGTTTGGTTCCAATAAGAATCAGCCTGTCCAAAGGGCTAGTATCCAAAATCTATAAAGAGCTCACCAAACTCCACACCCGAAAAACAAATAACCCAGTGAAGAAATGGGCAGAAAACATGAATAGACACTTCTCTAAAGAAGACATCCGGATGGCCAACAGGCACATGAAAAGATGCTCAACGTCACTCCTTATCAAGGAAATACAAATCAAAACCACACTCAGATATCACCTCACGCCAGTCAGAGTGGCCAAAATGAACAAATCAGGAGACTATAGATGCTGGAGAGGATGTGGAGAAACGGGAACCCTCTTGCACTGTTGGTGGGAATGCAAACTGGTGCAGCTGCTCTGGAAAACAGTGTGGAGGTTCCTCAGAAAATTAAAAATAGACCTACCTTATGACCCAGCAATAGCACTGCTAGGAATTTACCCAAGGGATACAGGCAGGAGTGCTGATGCATAGGGGCACTTGTACCCCAATGTTTATAGTAGCACTTTCAACAATAGCCAAATTATGGAAAGAGCTTGAGTGTCCATCAACTGATGAATAGAAAAAGAAATTGTGGTTTATATACACAATGGAATACTACGTGGCAATGAGAAAGAATGAAATCTGGCCTTTTGTAGCAACGTGGATGGAACTGGAGAGTGTGATGCTAAGTGAAATAAGCCATACAGAGAAAGACAGATACCGTATGGTTTCACTCTTATGTGGATCCTGAGAAACTTAACAGAAACCCATGGGGGAGGGGAAGGAAAAAAAAAAAAAAAAGAGGTTACAGTGGGAGAGAGCCAAAGCATAAGAGACTCTTAAAAACTGAAAACAAACTGAGGGTCGATGGGGGGTGGGAGGGAAGGCAGGGTGGGTGATGGGTATTGAGGAGGGCACCTTTTGGGATGAGCACTGGGTGTTGTATGGAAACCAATTTGACAATAAATTTCATATATTGAAAAAAAAATAAAAATACATAAAAATAAATATAAAAAAATAAAAAATAAAAAGAATCAGCCTGCCCTGTCCCTGTAGTGTGGCTTCCAATCAAGAGCTTGGCAGGCTTTTGTGTCAGCTCAGAGAGACTACAGAAGATTCAGCTGGGGGCTGCTTGGGTGGTCCAGTCGGGTGAGCGTCTGACTCTTGATTTCAGCTCAGGTCATGCTCCCAGGGTCATGGGATTGATCCCTACATCAGGCTCTGTGCTGAGTGTGGAGTCTGCTTAAGATTCTCTTTCTCTTGCTCTCTCTCTCTCCCTCTGCCCCTCTCCCCTGCTTGCACCCTCCCTCTCTCAAATAAAAAAAAAAAAAAAAAAAAAAAAGGACAAGATCGGGTTTTGTCTTGGGTGTGTGGGGGAGGGTGTCACTGCTCAGCATCCCGTCCTGAGCCACATCCATTTATAAAAGGCCTTGAAGGACAGGGCAGCAGGCGTGTGAGGTCTCCTGAGCCTCCTCGTGTGTCCAGCTGCACAGCGAACGAGCAGGTGCTTCTCTGGGAACAAGCAGCTGCAGGCGGCTGACGACTGATGGCAGATGTCAGCTCACTGCTCCCTCCGGTGCCTTCAGCTCTTCTCGCATCGTCCCAGGAACTCCAACCCCCGGCCGGTGTTTGTCTTCTCAAGAGACTCCAGAAAACTCCACTCGGGATTTCAGGGCTCTTCGGGGCTGTCGTAACACGCAGCTTCGTAATTTGAAACATATCTCACCGTGGAATCTGCCTGGGCGTTTGGGCCCCTCGAGCCTGCGCGGAGCCCTCTGCCTTGGACCCGGCCTGGATTCCTGCCTGCAGCCTGTGCCCAGAATCTGGAACGGCCCGAAGGAAAACGCAGGCTGTGGGTGCTCACCTCTGGGCGGCCCACCTTCCGCCAGAGGTGTAGTTCCTCTGGTGCTTGTTGCCTTCACGGCTCCCCGGTCCTCTGGAAAATTCTTTTTTCTTCTACCCAGATCTTGATAGCCTGGCAGTGGTTCTGGCCGGCTGCAAGCTCCTTCATCTGACCCTGAGGGAAGGAGGGCGCCTTGAAGGTGGAGGCAATGAAACCATGTCTTTGTGCTGGCGAAAACGAGAGAGGGACAGAAATTGTGGCTTATATACACATTGGAGTACTACGTGTCAATGAGAAAGAATGAAGTCTGGCCCTTTGTAGCAACGTGGATGGAACTGGAGAGTGTGATGCTGAGTGAAATAAGCCATACGGAGAAAGACAGAGACCATATGGCTTCACTCTTATGTGGATCCTGAGAAACTTAACAGAAACCCATGGGGGAGGGGAAGGAAAGAAAAAGAGGTCAGAGTGGGAGGGAGCCAAAGCATAAGAGACTCTTAAAAACTGAGAACAAACTGAGGGTTGATGGGGGGTGGGAGGGAGGGTAGGGTAGGTGAGGGGCATTGAAGAGGGCATCTTTTGGGACGAGCACTGGGTGTTGTATGGAAACCAATTTGACAGTACATTTCATATATTAAAAAAAAACAAAACAAAATGAGAGAGCGACAGAATGATGACAGGAGGGGCATTCACTGAAGGATGTCCTACAGAAGGACCGCACAGAGGTGGGTTCCCCAGTGGAAGGCTTGTCCTGGAAGCGGGAAGGGCTCTCTTTCCGTTGCAGTGGAGGGAACGGGGGAAGAGGGGTAGAACGATGTAAGGGGTTTGGGTTAGTGGGGACAAGAGAGAATTCCTCTCCTCCACCTTTAAAAAAATTTTTTTTAATGTTCGTTTATTTCTGAGAGAGACAGAGAGACCGAGTGCAAGTGGGGGAGGGGCCAAGAG